GATGAGGATCTGCTGAGGCTGCTGAGAGTTCTCTGATTAGCACTGGCGCTGTTTCTGTTGCTACCTGCGTGTAATCGGTCGCTGCTGCACTGTGTCCTTTTGATTGTAGATGATTGTTGTGTTTCGCGTGATTGTCGAGCCCATTGGTGGTGGCTTGGTGTTTGTGCCAGTTACTGTAGTCGGCTGGGCTTGTCGGTGTATATATTGATTGGACGGTCGATTGGATACTGGTTGGTGAGCTGGCTCGTTTCTGAGTCGGCGGAGGGGTAGGTTGATGGGCCGTCTACACTTGTTCGTAGTGGTGTTGACGATAGTATGTCGGTTTCAGCAACCTTAACCCGCATGTGTGTATATATGGTTCGACGAAGTTTGGATCATTACTAATTATGACCGCAGCTATTGTCAGTGGCATGGGTGGTGATCTCGAACCAGTGGTATGAGCTGTGAACAAGAAGTGTTGTCTACTTGTTTATGCTTGGGATGCAGACCTCGCAAGTAACCAGTTTTCTTCGTTGCTCAGTTTAGCTACGGCTTGTTTTGGACTCATGCCCAACTAACACTTCGTTATCAATATGTTTCTGATGATGGCGACGACCATGTTGCTGATGCTGATGCTTGTTCTGATGTTGAAGCTCATGCAATGGAGCTGATGTCCTGGCTTTATAGTCCTACGTGGCACAGAACCATCAGCTATTGGCTGCTAGCACTTGCCCTTGTCCGGGTGATGCCATATGTGCTGCAGGCAGTCGCTGTTGTCAATTCTACTGCCATGACTTGTGGTTATGACTTCGAGCGTTGTTTGCATTTTGGGAGAAATGCATATTACAAATGCTTTGATGTTGCTGGTATCGTTCAGAGCTGCCCTAGCCACCGAGCACTGGGACTCCTGTGTTAAGGATCTTATCCATCGTGGGGGCGAGGATGTACACATAGTGCTCTCCACGTACTGGCCCAGCGCTCAGAGCTGTCGGAGTTTGTGATGCGTGGACTCGGCGGTTCATTCCTCTGCGATCAGGTTTCAGGGACTTGGAGTGCTGTGTGAAAGACCAAGAACGCTCAAGATCAAAGTTTGGCATAGTTTTTTCCTGCAACAATAAGACTGCAGTTCTTTTTGGGATGCATCTACGAGTAATAGTTGCCAAGACCATACACCGCTAAACGGGAGACATCATCCCTCTCATTGCCAGGGTGACAAAATCCGAGAGCGCGCGCAGATATGTATGCAAGCCTGTCAACGAATATGACCACCCTGTTGCACTCTGTCCACTGGTCTTAGGCTAGTCTTAGGAAGCCTGTTAGGGTTTAGGGCCTAGGTCCGCTTCATGCCAGGATGGTTTCATATCAGGAGTATATCTTTGTTCGATGCGGTCGAGGAGCTGAAACCGGTTTCTGTGCCGGTTTTCTGGTCGTTCTCGCGGGTGGGCTGACGGTCTTGCAATGCTTTGCAGTTCCAAAGGCGGGCTCTCAGCACATGTCTTCCGCAGTTATCCTGACCTGCTGGCAGGGAATCGGAGATGCTCATTTCCGGTTCGGGGAATTTAAGAGTTTGGGTTTCTTGGAGCCCTCGTTGTTAGGCCTTTGTACCGTCATACCGCCTCAACAGGGGGACTCTGAAGTTTAAAGGACATGTGCCAGGATTTTTAGGTGCGTGTTAGTCCGAGGCGCCGGTTCACGGACTACATTACCTACGTGCTGTCGAGGCCGTGTCACCTTTCACATCCCATGGGGTCAAAATTTCTTGGGTAGGAAGTGTAAGACTGTTTCAGAGATCCGATAAGCAATGCAGAAAAGGGGGGAGTTTCTCGGCCTACCAGCCTACCACGTCAATCCCATGCACCCTACGGGCTAAGGGAGACATCCCGACTGCCCCCTGAGTCCGTGAAAGCGCATAATCTCGCACGACTGAGCCTGATCCCAACTTGGACCTTTCGGGACCCCAAAGAGGACGACAGCGCACTGAGAAAAATCTTCCCATACTCTTAACGCTTCTAAAGCAAAAACCCCAAACCTCCCTGTCTCTATCATGTACATATACATACACACATACATACACACCAGCACGTACATGTTACGACCCTAATGCTCGTCGCGGAATAGGGCGAAACTGGGTGGGAAAATCTTCGCGGAATAAGGCGAAACACTCCGGGCAGATCTTGGTGGAATAAGGCGAAGTCTGGGGGAATTCGTCGCGGAGTAAGAAAACATCTGTGAGAATCAAACCTGATACAGGATCGGCTAATCACCCACAGGCTGCTGTAACAGATCGACTCCCGAAAGTCTAAATCTTCCACAGGACGCAAGCCACTGAATGTGCTGGCAGATTGGCTAAAGAGCCGATCTGTTACGGCATCTTGCGGGCGTAGGAGCCGATCTTTTACAGCAGTTTCTGTGTAAATGTACGAGCCGATCTGGCATCCTTTGGTGCCTGACTTTAGGAGATATCTGCCCACGATATCCTTATAGACGTAGTTAGAGTGTGCACTTTGTTTCATGGAGTTACAGTTCTGTGGTCATGCACGTATTCGGTGTCTTGCTTTAGATTGCTGGTGCTTGCTGATGACATCCGCATGCAGCTAGTGTTGATAAATGTGCAGTCTGTGAAGAGAAGCTGGTGTTAACGTTTGTAGACACTCACTGTTGAAGTTGAATGATTATGCAAAAGCTTTTTGGATGGGATTCTTTGGGTGTGTGGGTTTGGCCCAGTGATATGTCTTAGCCGATCTAAACGCAAAGCCCTAGACACCAGGCCTAAACTCTAAACCCTAAGCCTTAATCCCTAAACCCTAAACCCTAAAACCCTAAACCTCTAAACCCTAAAAACCCTAAACCCCGAAACCCTAAACCCGAAGCCCTAAACCCCTAAACCCTAAAGCCACAAAGCCCCAAGGCCCCAACCCTAAACCCCAAAGCCCCAAAGCTGCCCCTGGAAGGTACGGCATCTCTGAGGCCCCAAATGGGCTTCTTTGGGACCCACGGAGAAGTGGCGCAGGGCTTCGGGGCTAAGGGGGTTAGGGGTTTAGGGTTTTATGGATTAGGGCTTGGGTTTAGGGTTTAGGGTTTAGGGGTTTCGGGTTTAGGGATTAGGGCTCTCTCTTTTAGGATGTGGGGCTTAGGGATTCCAACTTCCAGGTGTCGCTTGGGATAATGGCTTTGGACTGCCCATGCTGATTCCGATGGAGCTGGTGGTAAGCTTGAGTCCGAGAATGACGTTATTTATGAAGGTGGTGAATATATCAAGAAGACTGGCATGTCAGATGATCATGATCATAAAACATGATGGCGAGTATGATGGACACGAGCTTGAACAGCAGCAGCAGTAGCCAGTAACGATGGAGAAGATGATGCTGGCATTCGCGGTGGTCAAGATCACATTCCGCTTTGTAGCCGTCCTTGAGCCTACACCCTAAGCCAAGCCCAAACCCTACCCTAAACTCAATCTTAGATCCTATTGCTCACCTAATCATGGCCGTTTCCGTTGTCATGAGCGACGTACTACCATCATCGGACTCCTACCTCGACAGACGTCACGACAACTGCACTCTCACTCGTCAACTCCAAAACTCCAATCGACAAATTTTACATGCTAGACCAAACCCTGAGACCTAAACCCGAAGCCCTAAACCCTGACCATCAGGGCCGCGTGCTGGGTCGTACGCCGGGCCAGGGCCACCTCGCCGGCAGCTGTGCAGACGACAAGGCTCAGCCCTACTTTTCGTTTGGCGGAGGTTAGCCTTGTTTGGTTCGGTTTTCGGTTAAAAGGATTGCAGGGCCTGCTTGACTTGTTTAGCTTTTTAATGTCATTTTCTGTTAGGAGTCGGAGTCAGGGTTCAGGGTTTCGGAGCGGTCAAGGGTTTAAAGGCTGCGGGTTTGTTTCTTTTAGGTTGGCGTTGCATGCATGCGGTTTCGGGTTTAGGATTTATCCGAAGTTCCGCGGGGTCTTGATGCATCTTGGCACCAGGAGCAGTTGCGAAATAGCGGCAGCTACGGGGCCTTCAGCCGACATCAATGTTTCCGCGTATGTCGCCAAAAGCTTGCGCTACTTGAATCTTTGCCATGAGTTCCTTAATTTGTGGCCGGTTCTTCAACAGCTGTGAATGACAGGGTTTTTGCCGGGGGCCCTGTTCCTAGTTGTGGTAGCCCTTTTGCTACGTAAGCTACTGGTATACTTCTCAGGGTTTGTGTTTGGCGTTCCTGTGCCCTGCCCCAGGTGTACGAGAGCAGGAGTGAAGAGATCTGCCACTGGTTGCAGGACCGGGAAGATGGTCTACTATGGAGGTTCATGGATATTTGCAAGTAGGGTCATAAGTAGGGTAAGTATAGTTATAAGCTATATTAGGGGACTAATGCCACTTCTAACTACCCATGGACCTCCAAGTAAGAGATTGGCACGCAGGGTCTCGGCTCAGGGCTCAGGGCTCCGGGCATGTAAACTCTGAATCCTATACCCTAACCACAGGCCCTACACCGTAAACGTTTTTCAGGTTGTATGGTTCCGCCTTACGAGCCGCCGCGTTGTAGAAAGTCCACGCAGGGCCTCCGAAACTGGACACGATGTGTGAACAGTTTAAGGTTACTGTAAGGGTACTTATAGGATTACTACACTACACAGACACACCCTTACTAACTATAAGGGATTTATGGGATGACTCTACGGGTATTGGGGTTGCAATAAGGGCTCTGTACGGTGACTGTACGGTACTACGGGGCTCCTACCAGGTCACTGTAACGGCATTACAGGATTGTCAGGGCTCTGAATGCAAAGTGGCAGCATTCAGAAGCCCCCTCAAAGCTTCAGCTGTCGCGAACCGGGAACTTTCAAAGAGATAATCCTGGAACCCTACACTCGGAACTCCAAAGCCTGACAATCAGTTCCAAGAAAGAAGCTCTGAACCCTCTGCGATGTTGGAACTACCATTGTCAGCAATGTCCAAAGATACAACCACAACCAGCCAGCAAGACAATTTTCCAGCTTCATACCACCCAGGGCACCCCAAAACATGCTGATGCTCGAAAACCTAGCAATTGAGACTTGTCGTTCCTTCCAAGTCGTTCCTTCGTTGGATTTCCCCTGCACTCTGAACACCAAGCTCCGCCCTAGGCCCCAACTCCTGTAAAGCCTTCAACGCAGAAACACAGGAGCACCCAGAAGTTTCGGGCTATGTCATCCTGGATGATCGCGACACTGCGGGCTTGGGGCCCAGCGCCCGCAGATTGCAGGGGATCTAGAATGCAGGACGTACGGTCAGGGTGCAGGGTCTCGGATTCATGCCAACTTAGACTTTAAGATGCCAACTTAGACTTTAAGATGCCTCTTCGCCGCACATGCCTACTTCGTACCACACCCCGGTCAGAAGGCCTCGTCGCAGATCCCCGTTTAAACCTGGGAAGCTCTTAAAAGGAGCCCCTCCACAGCCCCATAGACCTATCGAGCCCCAAAGGTACCCTGCAGAGACCCCATAGAATGCCTCAGAATTACTACTCTATACTATATAATATTATATATTATATTACGTTACATTATACTATATTATGTTATATTATATTATATGGAGACAGGTTTGTTATCACTCAGTGACATGAGAGTTGACATCGGCGAACCTTCCACAGAGGTGCCCGAAATGGAGCCACGGCTGAATGTAGTTATACTTTAAACCCAGAACCCGAAACCCTTTCCAGAATTCCGCATACCTCCTCCCGACCTCATGCCCGAATCGCAACCCTGGCCCGGCTCCCTAAAGTCACGAAGCGGTGAAGCCCCAAGGTAAACAATGCCTCGCCCGGGACCCTACCAATAATACTACACCTCAAGGACCTTGAGCTGTAAGCCTTTCAAGCTCAAACCCTCAAGAGGTACCGGATGCAGCCGAAGCAAAAGCATGAATCTTGGTTTCGGCCCTAAACCGTAAACCCTAAACCCTAAACCCTAAGCCCTGAAGCTTTCATGGCCGTGAAGCCCCGCCTGTGACTCTTGCAGTGGAGGCCAGGGCATGCTGAAGCCGCACTTCGTGCATTGCAGGCCTGGCAAGCTGAGGGTTCAGGGTTTAGGGCTTTAGGGTTTAGGGTTTAGGGTGGAATGTTTAGGGTTTTAGGGTTTAGGGTTTAGGGCTTTAGGGTCTAGGGTTTAGGGTTTAGGGTGGAGGAACCTCATCCTGCCTTCTAGGTCCCCTTGCTTTTCTTCTGAGCTGAAACATACTACCCCACAAGTCTCAGCCACAAGACTTATGCCTCTTCAAACATCGCTGCTACCGAGACCCAGACACTCAAAATTCCAAGACTCCACACTTCCTCTTGGCGTCCCTAGAAGACAGCTCTTGACACTTCTGCACTTCTGACAAAAAAAGAAGCCAGGGTTCCTCAAAGGAACGGCTCCTTGAAGGTTTCTTTGGAAGGGCTCTCCAAGGGTTTCCACAAAAGGGTTCCCCGAAGTGATTCCTGCCAGGAGCGATTTGGGCCTGACCCCCGAAGATGTGGAGAAGGCTGGGCGGGTGGAGGCGATCCGAGGCTCCTGAACCCTAAACCCTACCTGTAACCGAAAAGACCTACCTTTTTCAGAAACTGTATATAGCAACCATAATAAGGAACCTTAAAGAGGTAGGTCTTTTCGGTTACAGGTAAACCCTAAAGGAATTAGGGTTGAGATCTTGGGGTTTTTGAGGGCTCCATGCCAAGCCCCTCTCAGGATGATGTGCGGTTCAGGGTTCGATTGGAGGCTTCCGCATGGCTGGATGCTTCCGACGATGCACCAAAAGGGCTGCATCTGATGATGGTTTAACATCTCGTTGCGTACTTGTAGATCTCCAATGATCTCCAACCGGACTCCAACCGCGCCGTAAACTCTACGCCGGAAGCAAGACATAGCACCGAATTTTTGCCAAAAGCAAGGAAGGACACCATGAACATGATCCCCTAGACGAAAAACACCCTGCTGCACACCCTGAAGCCCAGAGCCAGAACCCTAAAGCTTAAGCCATAAACACAAAGCCCCAAACCCTAAGCCCTAAACCCTATTTAAGCCCTGAGCCCCGAGAAAACCCTAAACCCTAAACCCTAACCCTTATTAAGCCCTCGAAGATTTTGCTGATGCCGCAGAGGCCTTGGAGATTCTGCAGATGCCCCGCTTGGATCTCGTGGATGCTTGGAATGCGGAGATTGAAAATGCTATCATTGATATTGTTTAGAGTTCAGGGTTTAGGGGTTAGGGGTTGCTTTTTGTTTTTCTAACTCAGTTTTTTTTGGATTATTTTCCTGGTGTAAGTTTCTAGTACTATCAGTGTTACAGTTAATTACTCTTGGTTATTTCTGTCACCTATCACTACCGCTAGTAATTTCATAATTTGCACACCATGTCGTTCAATTCTTCTCCTCCGCCTTCTGTATTTCAACAAAGCAGCTACAGCCATAAGTACACTCGTTGCAACAACAGCAAATCAAGAACGACTGCAGCAAGTTCAAATACCAGCACGACAGAAGTACGTAGTAGAGTTCCACCCCATCTCCCAGGAGCTGAAACACTAAGCCCCAAACCCTGAGCCCTAAACCCGAAGCCCCCGAAGCGTCAACCCCAAACCGTGTGCAAGGTGACCCTTTGTGTAGACCTGTGGTGGTCGGGGCTGAAGTTTTGCTGCGAAGCGAAAGTTAAAAAAAAGAAACCCTACAGAACCCTAAACCCTAAGCCCTACACCCTAAACCCGCCTTCTGAAGCCTTAGCATGTCTCACTCCCAGGATCTTGGTCCCGCCTGAGCTGCAGAATAAATGCGCCGGTTGTGGTAAAAGAATCCCACTCGGGCCAGGCTTCGAAGGTGTATCGTTTAAGGTTTGGGAGTTTAGGGTTTAGGGTTTTGGGTTTAGGGTTTAGGGTTGGGAGTTTAGGGCATATAGAGCTTAGGGGTTTATGGCAAAACGTTTAGGACTTCAAGGTACAGGGTCCAGGTGTCTAGGGTCCAGCGGTTTGGGCTTTAATGTGTACGGGTTTGGGATTTTTGGGCCTTATAGCTGGGTGGAACGCGTCCGAGGCTTCCTTCCTGTGAGCTTAGTGACAGACCCTTCAAGAAAACCTCAAACCACTTAGTTTAGCGTGAGGCTTTTAGGGGTTTTGGGGTTTAGGGCCGTTTAGGGGTTTAGGGTTTGGAGCCAAAGATCCTACTTTTTCTCTTGAAACTTTGAAGCAGGATCTGCTTCTTAGACCCAGAACCCAAAACCCCTAAACCCTGGAAGACCCTCGATGCCCGAAGCACCGAAGCCCTACGAATTAGGAGAGGAACCTGAAATCCCGAACACATTCGAAACCTATAGGCCCCAGAACCGCGAAGTCTTCATCCTATAAACCCCCCCTAAACCCTAACCCTAAACCCTAAACCCTAAACCCTAAACCCTAAACCTTAAACCTTAACCGAACGTGGGAGGAGCAGCTGCGTCTCCAACGCCTCGCCGAGGCCTGTTGTTTGGGGTGGCCGAGAAGCTTTGGCTTCCTTCCTAAACCCTAAATGCCCTAAATCCTAAACCCTAAACCCTTGAAAGGTTTGAGGGATCGTTCCCAGAGTTTCTAGAGTGTAGGCTTCAGGGCAAGTGTAGGGTCGGTTTCGAGTTTTGGGCTTGAGGCTTTCATCATTTTTGTAGTTGCAAGTAGGGTACTGCAGGAGTTATAGGTAGCTTAGATCTGTCGGTAGTATGGAAAAAGCTGCCTGGCACACATCTTTCTGCGCTTCTCTTCGAAGGTTTCATATTTAGGGTTTCCGGACTTCGGGGTTGGAGTGCCTAGGGGCCCGCAGGTGTGGGGTTTCCGGTGTTCTGGCCATATTTCGAAGTGCGGGTTTCGGCTAAACCAATCGCAAAAACCCGCAGGGAATCAAAAGGCTTTCCATAGGGTATATGTTGGGGTTTGGTATCCTAGGGCGTGTCTTTCCTAAACCCTGTAGCCCAGTCACTCACACCTGCATCAACATACCCTGAAACACGCCAGAACAAGAGACCGAAACCCCAAGCCCAACCCTGAACTGCCCGACCGTCAGCCCCCAAGTGAGAAGCCTTTCTGAAGCTACGAGGCCCCCGGAAGGCCCCGTTATGGGTAGTTCTCTAAATTCCGGTCCCTTTTAGGGTCCCTTTTTTATAAGGGTGCCATACTATATTGGGGACCTAAAAGGGGACCCTAATTTAGAGAACCACCCATATCCATGCGATCCCCACGCCCTGGCACAGGTCAAGACCTCCCCGCAGGTCCTCAGCAGCCGGGCGCTGCGGCCGAGTTCCGCGGGCTTTGACTTAAATCCGAGACTCTCTAAACCCTCCGCCCCCAAACCCCTAAGCCCAATGCCCTTGTAGGGAACCCTGTTTTAGAACCCTATGGTAGCCTGAAGGGGCACCCTACCCTGGTACAGATCCCTATGGTACCCCTAAACCCTAAACCCTAAACCCTACGCTTCAGGGTTCCCTTTTGGTGCCCGTTGATCCGAGGCTCTGCCAGCCGGGCCCGGCCGGAGAGTGGCCGCCGAAGGCGGAGCATGGGGGTTTAGGAGCCTTTGGCGGTTTCGAATTCAGGGTTTTGGGGGTTTAGGGTTTAGGGTTATAGAGTTATAGGGTTATAGGGTTATAAGGTTTGGGGTTTAAGGTTTAGGGCCGTTTAGGGTTTTGGGGCTGCCTTTGCAGGCTGAGGGTTAGTTACTTCGGCGTGAGTCATTGGGATTTCGAGGGGCCGGGTTTGGGGACCCCATGGTTCCTGTGTTCAGATCTTGAGGTGGACTTGGGGTCTTGCGCCTTGGCTTGGTGGTCGGCATGAAGGAGCCGTCGATACAGGGGAACTATGAGCTCAGCCTAAACTGGGCCTAAACCTTAAACCCACCTGAAATAGACTCGTCCGCTGGACAAGGCACTTCAGGCACCCCGAGCAGGGTTTGCAAATTTTCGGGCTGCTGTGGTTTCAAGGTAATATAAAGGTCTGAATAAGCTTGGTTTCGTATTTGGACTCTTCAATAGAGTGATACCACAACATAACAATAATCTGCCCCAAACCCAATTCCATAAGTATCACGGCTCCTAGAATACTCGGGTTTGCGTATAATTTCTGCACTACAGTGCGGTCGTTTACAGGCTGGTTTCTGGCTAAAGCTGTCATAAGGACACCAAAAACGGGCACCAGAAGGACACCGTAAGGTTCGACAAGGGCACCCTACGCGTACCACTATCAGGTTGCTACGAAGGTACAAGAAGGTGCTATAACGGATGCCAGAAGGTTACCATAAGCTCACTACGAAGGTCGCATGGGGTTATCAGAAGGTTATTCCAAAGGCACTACACTCCGCTGAGCATTGAGTTTATTGTATTGATGTCGGGAAAGTTCCCATCGCAGAAGCGAGAGTAGAACCCTGTATACTTCTAAACCCTAAAGCAACCCCCTTTATGGAACCCTTTTGGAACCCTTGCAGGAGCCTGTACGGGGGGTCAGGGCTTAGGGGTTCTGCACGAAAGCTCACATGTAGCACATGCAGCTGCTTTCGGCTTGCATGGCGATGCGGACCGCAGAGTCTTCCTTTCTCAAAGGAGAACCCCTGAGGACGCTGCTAGCTCTCCGAAGTTGGGTGCGGTGACTTTTGCTTCTTCGGAGGCGTCCCAAGCCAGCATAATCGCGATATCTCTAGCTGCAGCGGCCCCTGTATTGCCATACAACCCTCGTCTCAGAAGGAAGGTTTCAGGGGACAAGGGGTTAGAGGGTTTGGGCCCAGCTCGTCTCATAGCCATGCAGCCGCGTGGCCACTATCCAATCACGGTCGGAGCCTCAGGCGCAGCATCAACGAAGACTGTTGCAAGTGGATGCTTCATTCTCGCGATGTTTCTGCACATCGGTCTTACGAGTATCATCATCATGTTTGCTGTTTTTCGTTTTAGTGTTGTCATTGCGTCTGTTGCTGTTATTGTTCTTATTACTAATGCTTACTCCTGCTATCATACTTTTATACTTGCATGACTGTGACTACGACTACTACTACTACTAC